GTTTTAGGCCTAGAAATATAGTGGGTGTTGATAAAAATGGAAGAAAACGAGCTTAGGATTACATACCTATGAAGCTATGGTGAAGTTCCTCTTCAAAAATCGCCCAAGAGATGTGGAGAAGATGAAGTTTATGAAAAATGGTGGAATTTCCATAATGCATTATGGTTTTGAAACATAAAATAACTGGGCGAATTTGGTCTTCGCGTTCGCGATAAGCTCAACGTGTTCGTGATGATTTAGGCCTGACAGACCTTCGCGTTCGCGATAAAGGGCTCGCGTTCGCGTAGAAGTAACTCCTCGAGCCTTCGCGTTCGCGGCCAGGTGGTCGCGTTCGCGTAGGTTTAATACCCCTCCCCCTGCCAAGGCTCATAAGCCATCGCGTTCGCGGGTGCTGGGTCGCGTTCGCGAAGGGTATCCCCCCTTAGCATCGCGTTCACGTCACCAGCTTCGCATTCGCGAAGAAGACATTTGGCACCTGGGAGATTTGCCTTACGCGTTCGCGAGAGTGCCCACGCGAACGCGAAGAGTAAAATCCCTGGGCATTGAACATCAAAAACTTGCAACTTTTTGAGTTCCAAAAACCTTCTAAAACTCACTCGAGCCCTCGGGGCTCTAAACCAAACATACGTACTAACTCAATAACACCATATGAACTTATCCGGGCGATCAAATCGTCAAAATAACATCATTAACATCAAATTAAACCTCAAAATCAATGAATTATTTCAAACTTCTTAAAACATCAAATCTTGCGTTTAAGGTCCGAATCACGTCAAATGGATTCCGTTTCTTACCAAACTTCACAGAATTATCTTAAACCACATATACTGGGCGCTCGGAACCAAAATACGGGTCTGATACCAACATGTTCTGATCAAAATTCATTTCCAAATCCTTTAAACAATTCAGAAAATAATTTTCTTTAAAAATTCATTTCTCGGGCTTGGGGCCTCGGAGTTCGATTCCGGGCATACGCCCAAGTCCCATATTTTCCTACGGACCCTCCGGGACCGTAAAATCACGTGTCAGGGTCCGTTTACCCAAAACGTTGACCGAAGTCACATTAACTCATTTTATAGTCAAAATTTATCATTTTTCACAGATTTTCACATATATGCTTTCCGGCTACGCGCCCGGACTGCGCACGCAAATCGAGATGATGCTAAAAGAGGTTTTTAAAGCCTTGAAACACAGAATTTCATTTTAAAACAAGTGATGACCCAAAAGATCATCATAATAACTTATCACAAAATTAGTAACCAAACAAAGTGGAACTTGGTACTAAATTTTATCCATAACACTCAATTTTCTATTTGGAAGGTAACACAAACACTAGTGCGCTCATAGATGGACCTACACTATGAAATGTTTTTAAAGACTTGATTAATACGTTGTAAAGGTCGCTTTTCGCCTTCTAGTTTTATCCAAATTCACGTGTGACATTATACCTTTTTCTTTTTTTGTCATATAAAACTCTACAACACGATTTATATTTTTTACATTCTATTTGGAAAATTGATCGTCCCGGAAGTTGTAAAGGGATTTTCGAACAACCTTGCATACAGGACATCAGGATAACAAATAAAAAATCGGTAGTAACTTTATAATAAAAAGAGAAGAATTTTTTCTTTCTCAGGTATTACAACGGTTGTGTCACATTGTAGGTAATTAGGTATACCATCCATTCTTAACCTTGTCAAAAGACTCAAAAGCTTCATTCATCGTGTATAAGCTGCACCGAAAAAATATTTATATGTTCATTATTTATCGAGTTTCGAAACGTACGTCAATAACAAGCATGGATAATTAATTAAATGTAAGATATTCCAAAGTAAGAATCAAAGCATGCAAAATGAAAATATTCCTAATCAAGATTTCCAAAATTTTTTATATTCACCATCATACTAGCACATCCTCTTGCTTTTACGCCTGATTTTACTTTATTAAACACAGTCAAAATTTATAAATTTTTATAAATTTAATCGCTTTAAAATCAACTTTAAACTTAGTGAGTTTGAACTTTCAACTAATAATCTCTTACAACTTTTGATCCCTTGTTCTGCATACTACGCGATATATAACTCTTTATGTCGGCATTTTGTATATAATTATTTCATATAAATACAAACATCCTTTGTTCCAGAGATCCAACTAACATAGAAAGCTATTCAATGGTAAGTGAAAACGTGGATAGGCTTCTCATAATCTCCAAAGGTTAAAGGAGCAGTTTCTTTATAACATGTGCGTTTATATATGTCCAACTTTACGACAAACTAAAAGACAAGCTATTCTCTCTACATCTCTTTAATCTTTATCACAATAGTTTTCTATTTGAATCATGGCATTGTTTCTAATGTGACGCTTAGATAGAAAAGGTGAAAAATACTTAGTATTATTTTCACATAAAAGGAAGGAAGGGGAGCTTTGGAGTAGTAGTTAAGTTATCTCTTCGGTCACAAGTTAGAGTCGTGAAATCAGTCAAAGACGTTTGCATCAGGATAACTATCTATATCATACACTTTTAAAATATGGGATTAGGGGTGTTCATAAAAACTCGAAAAATCAAACCAAACCGAAAACCAAACCAAATCGACCAAAAAAAATGATACATTTTGGTTTGGTTTGGTTTGGTTTTGATTTTAATCAGAAAAAAACTGAACCGAACCGACTATAGGAATAGCTATTTCAAATTTATTATTACACCTATATATATGTGTGTGTATATTGTTATACAAAGTTTCAAAAAATTATGGTAAATGTTAATAGTTTGCACGTTTAATATAGTTCTTTACCTTTACATTCTAGTTTGATTGGTAGTTTTCTTTTGTTTAGTGTAAGAATCCATTTCGTGTTAAAAATAACATATTTTTAATTGAGTCCTTAAATTATTCATCACTATTTGATTCAATTATCATCAATATATTTTGGTAAATAATAGATTTCTCAAAGGGCAATTGATTTGATAGTGTTATATTGAAAATGTGGTCGTCGGAATATGTATTTGGTAGTGTATGTCTTATATTTACGAAAAAACCGATAAATAACCGAAAAAACCAACATAAATCAAATCGAGAAAAACCGACTTAATTGGTTTGGTTTGGTTCTAATTTGAAAAACCGACTTACTTGGTTTGGTTTTTTCTTAGGGAAAAATCGATCCAAATCGAACCATGAACATCCATATACGAGATGCTCTATTCATCGAACTGCCTTTTTCACATAAAAATAAGGTTTTAAATAGTAAAAACAATAATTATGTAGTTAAATTCGTTGGACACAATTTTCGATAGTTATCTTTTATGTTAACTGAACTCATAAACGTCAAATCCTGGCTCCCGCCGTTCATTTGTCATTTCAGGAAAGAAATACATGCGGGAGAAATGTAAATTGAGAGAAGTGGCAGACAGCAAAGGCATTAGAAGTTTAGAACTTGACTCTAGATATTGACACGTCGACTATTGGATGCTGATGTGTCACCACTTGGTACATTTAGGTGGGGGTTCAGCTCTGCTCAGAGGCCTTTTACTTTTGACTTTAATGTGTAGTAGTATTAGAAAACTTTATCTCGTCCACGATAAATGATCAATTTTATTTTTTTATTTTGATACAAAATAAATATTTATTTATATAATTAAAAAAAATTAATTAGTTTTTTTAAAATTACCCTTATGTACGTACTCCTAAAATATTTTTTTACTCCTCACATTTAAAAAGAAAAGTAAGTGTTATTATAACTATGCTGTAATATTTAATTAATGGTAATTTAGTTACACTAATTATTTTTGTGTAGAATTTAATATTTTCTTAATAGGTGTATTCGAGAAAAATTAATTATTTATTGTGAACCGGAGGGAGTACCAAAATATGTGACCTATACGAAATTAATATGTGACAAAATTCTTAATAGCCGTTCTTGTAAATGATTATTTCCTGTTTAAAAGGCAGGCTGGTTTGGGTTAAATATATATAACTCAAATTGACCTATACGAAATTTATCAAATTCTTTTTTTAAAAAAATTACTATATTGGATAAGCCACATCAAAGAAAAAATATTACTTTATTCAATGATCTTTGAAGAAAAGACGGTAGATCCGGTACATGCATCCATATATTACCAAAAAAACACGCCAAGTAGTAAGCAATTAATGTACCAAAAGTAGGGTACGTGGTTTAAGGTGGTTCGATTTTTATCAAAATCAAACCAAAACAACTATATCAGTGGATCGGTTCGATTTCGTCGGATTTTTCGAATTTTTTATTATATAAATATTATTTCAATCTTACTTTGTGTTATAAATAAAGTTTTTATAAGTGAACATATGTTTGGTAAAAATTGACAAACATATGATCTATTAAAATATTCTCTTAGTCCTCTAACAATAATTTTTTGTTGATGTACACTTTCAAAATTTATCGAATTTAATAAATAAACATAAAAATCAATATGATACCTATATAATTATATGTGTGTTCTATTTAATTTTAAGTTATTGAAATACCATTTAAATTCAAAAAATATATAAGAAATATTGACATATGAATGGTTAGTGATACAATGAATTATTTAAAGTAAATAAAAACAAAAGCACTTCATAATTTTATCAAATATTATATCCCATGAGAAGATTTCAAATATTTTTGGATATTTTGTTTAAAGAAATTCAATATAAAGTCTTAAAAGTATATATAAAAATTATATATTTATATGTCGGTTTGGTTTGAGATTTTTCACTCAATACCAAATCTAATCGGATTTTTTAATCGGCTTGGTTTGACTTTTCGATTTGATGCGGTTTTTCGCTTCGGTTTGAACACCCCAAACCAAAAGTAACAAATATTAAACAATATATACCACAAAAGTAAATATAATCCCTCAAACCCAATTTACTACTAGAAGATTATGGAAATTAATTTCTGAAGGTATTTCTTTCGAGGATACCCTACAAACTGCAGTTCCAACTTGAGCTTTTTTAAAATTCGTTTATAAAATACATAGATAATTAATCAAAAAGGGTAATTAAGCGATTTCATAATTGGTTCAATATACAAATAAGCATGCATACATAATTCAATATTGTACAAATTCCTATGAAGTAAAACAATTATATATAAGTATTTATTTCCATATTTGAATTAACTAGCTAAACTTGCCGCAAGCTTGGCTCTTAAATCTTTTCGAAGTATTTTCCCTGATGGAGCTTTTGGGATTGCTTCTGTGAAAAATACTCGATTGATTCGCTTGTAAAATATAACCTGCATCAATTATATATTTGAATTTCTTTCAGTCAGGTTTAATTATTTATGATCAATCAAGAAAATAAATTATGTATTCAATGGAGATCAAAGATGCATTTCCTGTTTAGGAAAGTGTTTTTTTTTTTCTTTTTTGCAAGCTTCTCTTCCTCTATGCGTGGAATAAATAGGATATATTATCAAGTGTCGTGGTAGGATGGATAACATCTCTTCACCCTTAGTCACGATTTTAAGCTTTGGGAATGAAAAAATTCTGATACGGAGCGCTTCCCCTTTTAATGAGACTTACGCTGAACGAATCCAGATTAATGGAGACCTTCATGTGGATATTGTCGTGAAAATAACACAGGTTAGTCAGTTTTGGAATAGCCAGTGTTTGCAAAGTCATTGAAAAATAGGCGCTATTTTGCTGAAACACGTTCCAGCATAACATTCTGGTTTATAAAACTCATGCGTATAAACTTTCAGCATATTGTGTTGGAATCTCATATGTAAAAAATTCAAACTCCAGCATATTATTCTGGAAATTTTTCGGATTTTTAAGGGTGCTTTTGTTCAATTTTATCTGTACATAAAAAAATGATTAAATTTCAATTACTTCTAAAACTATGACTATTTTTCAATTACCAATTGTAAATCTGGTTATCTTTTTTATTTTTTTCCGATATTACCATATACCAGGTAAGAAACTAAAAGAGAAAAGAATAAATAAGATATGACAATTACCTGTTCGGATATATATTTTTTGATCTCTTCCTCTGAAATGTTGCTACCATTTGCTCTCACTACAAAAGCAACAGGAACTTCTCCAGCAACCTCATCTTTCATCCTGTGCATAAGTCAGTTAAATGAAGTACGACAAATAATATAATTCATCAGTCTATTCAATAAAATAAATTTTAAAGAATTGTACTACTATGTTTTGTATATTTATTTTGGGCATGACAAAAAGACTCAAAAAAATGACATAGACTAATGTAAAAGTAGGCCGTCGTCTATATTACACCCCTAGGAATACGGTCTTTTCTCGCACTCTGCATGAATACAAGGTGCTTTATGTATCGGATTGCCATTATTAATGTAAAAGTAGGTTGTTGTCTACGTTACACTTCTAGGAGTATGGCCCTTTCCCGAATTCTGTATGAATACAGGGTGCTTTATGTATCGGACTGTCATTATTAATGTAAAAGTAGGCCGTTGTCTACGTTACACCTCTAGGAGTATAGCTCTTTCCCGAACTCTGTATGAATATAGGGTGCTTTATGTATCGGACTGTCATTATTAATGTAAAAGTAGGCCGTTGTGTATATTACACCCCTAGGAGTACGGCCCTTTTCCGAACTCCGCATGAATATAGGGTGCTTTATGTATCGGACTGCCATTATTAATGTAAAAGTAGGCCGTTGTCTACATTACACCCCTAGGAGTACGGCTCTTTTCCGAACTCTGCATGAATACGGGGTGCTTTGTGTATCGGACTGCCGTTATTAATGTAAAAGCCAGAGAAAGGGACTTACGGAACAACAGCAGCATCAGTTAAATTTGGATTAGAAATTAGTAGAGCTTCTAATTCAGCAGGAGCAACTTGATATCCTTTGTATTTGATTAATTCCTTCAATCTATCCACAATAAATACTTGATCATCTTCATCTATGTATCCAATGTCACCAGTATGTAACCATCCTTCTTTGTCTATTGTTTCCTCTGTCGCTTTTGGATTATTCAGATATCCTGTGCAAAAATAAAGTGAAAGCCTAAGGATTTTAAAAGCTAAGTCTTAATATTCATAATTTTTCAGAAATATTAGATTATCTAAATACTATTAAAGCATATATTAAATCAGGGGTTGCTCTGATGGTAAGCAACCTCCACTTCCAACCAAGAGGTTGTGAGTTCGAGTCTCCCCAAGAGCAAGGTGGAAAGTTCTTGGAGGGAAGGATGTCGAGGGTCTATTTGGAAACAGCCTCTCTACCTCAGGGTAGGGGTAAGGTCTGCGTACACACTACCATCCCCAGACCCTACTAAGTGGGATTATACTGGGTTGTTGTTGTTGTGTATTAAAGCATATATTAAATTATTAATTTTGATTTCTTTTTGTGACCATTTTTGTTCAATTATGCATCATGTATATATGGCTTACAGAGTTATAAACGAGATACTTCATATTCTGGACCATTATCTTGGGCCAAACAAGTGCACAGATAGCCATTCTCAGAAAATTTAAAGAATAGCAAGTACTTACTTATTTTGTCCTGAAATTTTAAATTAAAAATCTTAGATTTGTGATAATTCAGGATATTTTTGCCCCAAAAAATTGAACTCAAAAACTGAATTCAGGATGCACTGGCTAATTTGTAAATAGTAGCGCTTGAGAGTGGCTACTTGGTGTCATTTCTATGCCAACCCATTGCCTTCCTGTGGCCCAAATCACAGTAGGAAATCTCATAGGCCCATATAACTTGGGTCAAAACGCAGCAATGAATCCACACCTAAAGTCTATTATTTGGGCCCGTAAACTCCAATTCCACTATTTGTTACATGGAATTTGTGCAATCAAGTATAAAACAATAGAATTAATATTGTGAATAATTAATCTAAATAGTCGCCCACCTAATTGCTTAAACTAAAAATAGTTGGAGGATGTGTAACATATATATATATATATATATATATATATATATATATATATATATATATATATATATATAAACTGTATATAATAGTGTATAATTAATGTATATCAGTAAGAAAAGCAAACAGTGAATTTAGCTGGCTATTTATGTAAGGCAGAATAGCGTAATAGACACTTGTACTTGTTCTCATTTGTCATTACGGTCCCTATAATTAATAAGCGCTTACACTTATTCAAAGTCAATATTTTAAACTCTGACGCTGCGTGTCTCTCAATCGCATGGTACTAGAATCCATATCAAATAAAAATATGCCACTTCAGCATTTTTTTTAAAAAAATTACATGAAAAAAAAACTTTTTATCTTTCCTCCCTCTTTTCTTTATTTTTCTTTCTTCTCCATCATCATCCTCTCCTTGTTGTAATGCCTGAATCTAGCCACCAGATATCATTCCCAATTCCTCCATAAGAACCCTTATCCCACCTCTACCTGAATACCTTATCTCCCCCATATTCTTCTCGCCATTTTCGTCCTATCTTCATTCCTTCACTCATTCACGATTTCACTAGCTTTAAATCCCGCTCATTCCCCTGTTAAGATCTTGCTTTCCAGAAAAGGGTTCCTAATATTTTAATAATTTTAACTTCATCCCTATATAATAACAACAATCATACAAATCCCTTTTAATGATATCTTGGATCCGCCTCTGATCTTTATCGGTGCTTATTCGAACATGAACGAAACGTACCTTTCATAATCTGATCACCTCTAATGCAGATTTCTCCGGCATGATTCCGGGGAAGCGACGCACCGGAGTTGGTGTCGACGATCTTCATCTCAGCATTCCGAACAACTGTCCCACAGGAACCTGACTTGACTTCAAACTGTTGTTTTGCAAAAGCTAGACACATTGATAACACTGGACCTGCTTCAGTCATTCCATATCCCTATTTAATTTGCACATTACATCAAGTAATAATATTAGTTTATCCCTAATTACATGCACATGATAATGTTACCTTATAATCAATAGCTTCTAGTCTGTCATTTGTTTGTTCATTTATTTTGTTTATTTAGAAATTCGTACTCGGCCAAATTACGCCATTTAAATTGAAATGGATATAGTAGTAATAGACCCAGGTTTTGAGTATCACGAGGGCAGAACTTAAAAGATAAAATAAAAAATAGGGATATTTACACAAATAGTCGGGCATATTCATTGTTTATTTTTTCTAAAAATATACATAGATTATACATTAATTATACATAATTATACACATATAATACATAAATTATGCATATATTATATCTCAACCGATCATTTTAAGTTTAAGTGGTTGGGTGGACGACTATTTGGATTAATTCTTCTAAAAAATATAAGTTGTTGGAGCCAGGATTCAAACTTAGGTCAACAAGAGAGCGTAGGTGCTTAAGCACGCCTACAAACCAACCCCTCTAATCAGATTTTGTGATTTTAGAGGGGGAACGTAAAATATTTAATGAGTCCTCATTATATATATATATATATATATATATATAGTCTTATAATATGATATGCTTATATCGTACTAAAATTTTTTTTTTGTCCGATGGTACTAAATTTTTGAATATGGCCCCTTGATATTTCCTTCCCCCTTTTTGGTTGAGGTTTGAAGAGAGTAAATTAGTCTTAATNTGTCCTTTTATTTTTCTATTAGTCAATCAAAAATATAGTGAAAATTAAGAATGAGCTATCAATATGTTAGTCACATCAGGCTATTGCCTCTCAAAGCAGAGGCGGAGCTAGAATTTAAAATTAATGGGTTCAATATTTTAATTCTTTTCTGCATTCTAAATTAATAATTTTATATAATTTAATAATTTCTTAAGATAAATATAAAGTTTGAACATAAGTTACTGAATTCAACGGAACCCGTATCCGAAGGGCTAGCTCCGCCCCTGACTCAAAGGGGTCCGAACCTATGTTCTCAACTTACAACGTATCTACGTTCAGGCTGTCGTGGCCACAATCTCATATACTCCTAAATATTTTGGTATATTAAAATATCATAAGTTTTAAAATTGTATGTCGAAACAAATATTATTATATATTTAAACTATAAGTTTAGAAAATCATTATGTCTAAAGAATTTCTCATTTAGAAAATCATTATGTAGATCTACTATTCGTTGGTTTTTATACAAATTGCAATGTATATCTCTAATAAGGTCAAACGCTGCACAATATTAATATTTTTTTGAGATATAATGTCAAGTTTGTCAAAGATCAAGGACCATTTTTCTATATCATCATTTATAATTTCAACTAAAATCTAGTCCCCATACCATATCAGATTTGGGCAATTAAATACCAAGAAAGAGCTAATATCATGAAAAATAAGAGTAAATAACGTACTGTAACACATTAAAATACATGAATATTTCAAACAATTCCGCATTGGCAGCACATACAGAGACGGAGACAGAATTTTCATTAAGAGGAGTCAAAATATAAGAAAATAAACTCACCAAGAAGTCAAGAGGTGTCAATTAGGGGTGGGCATTCGGGCAATTCGAATTGTATATGAAATTTCGATTTGGATTTTCAGTTTTCGGATTGACGAAATGACAATCCAAATCCAATCCAAATAAGTTCGGATTGGATAAAAAATTTTAAGTTCTGTTTCGGATTAATCGGTTTGGATATTTTAGATTTCGGATTTGAGCTTTATAAGTTGAGATGTTTCTTCTTTTTATAAAAATGAATATCCAAATGAAGTACTCATGTTAAATTGACTGAAAAATTTCTCATGCTCACTGCAATCATCCAAATGAAGTATAAAGTAATTAATTATTACATAAAAAAATAAATAAAATACAATAGAGACATTAATACGGCAGATAATTAAGAAGTAGAAATACTAAACTCATGTCCAAATAGAAAGGATTCTCATAGTAACTTAGTAATTAATATTGAATATATGAGATAATATCTAATGGGTAGGGTATTGAACTTATTACTATTGACATATAGATAATGGACCAAATATAAAGTATAGGAATTTTGGATTTTCGGATATCCAAAAATTCGAAGTACCAAATCCAATATCCAATCCGAAATTCAAAAAATGTAAAAATGAAATCCAAAATCCAATCCGTAATCCGAAAATCCAAACCAAAAATCCAAGAAATTCGGATTTCGGTTTGGATTTTGGGTTTGCCCAAACTGTGCCCACCCCTAGTGTCAATATATAGTATGTATACATTTTTAAAAAAATTACCCAGCTACACGCTATAATTTTCCGACAAAGAGGTGTCGGTTGACACCCCTTGGGTGCATGTGGCTCCGCCACTGAGCACATATATATAACGGTAAAGACACCCTTATGAACTAAGCATCTCGCATTTACGCGGGTCCGAGGAAGGGCGCACCCCAAGACATGTGACGTAGGCAGCCTACCCTTATGCTAAATTCATAAAATAAAAAGAAATGCAAGAAGCAAAATTTTGTAGTATTTTACCTGTCCTAGTATGGCATTGGGCAGTTTAGCTCTAACAGTATCTTCAAGCTCTTTCCCCATTGGTGCAGCCCCAGACATTATCATCCTTATACTTGACAAATCATATTTATCAACCAATGGACTTTTTGCTATGGCCAAAATTATAGGCGGCACAAATGGTGCAATTGTCACCTTATATTTCTCTACTAACTCCATTAATCCTTTAATTTCAAACTTTTGCATTATCAAAATTGTTGCCCCAACTCTTAACCCACAAAGCAACACAGAATTGAGTGAATAAATATGAAACAATGGCAAAACACACATAATCACATCTTCACTATTGAAATAAAGATTAGGGTTTTCACCATCAACTTGTTGTGCTATACTTGTTACTAGCCCTTTATGTGTTAACATTACTCCTTTTGGTAACCCCGTCGTGCCCGACGAATAAGGCAACGCCACGACATCGTCAGGAGAGATTTTTATATCAGATATAAGGGTATTATGATCATGATTATGATTATCTTCCTCTGATTGAGTAATTAACTCGGTGAAACTGAGACGACCATATTCTGGTGGTGAGTTATCCGTACACATAATTTTCACCTCGTTTTCCTTAGCGAAACTCTTGACTTTATCAACGTAACAAGATTGTGTAATAATAAGCTTCACATTTGATGCTTTTGCTTGCTTTGTGATCTCCGACGGCGTGTAGAACGGATNGTTTTAAAAATAATATAAAATTATAATATCAAAATTCTTTCAAGATTCATTACTCCTTAAGAGATACATATAAGAATTCGTATTGAATACATTACTTTTGATGTTTGAGTTGTAATGACGTTGCAGCTTATTTGCATATTATGATATATGTCAAACTTTTCATATTATTTATAGTTGAATTATAATTTATAAATATTTTAAATAGATTATTTATTATAATTTTGTAATCTTAATGTAATTATAATTATTTTTTATTTTATACTATTTTAAAATTCTTGAAATTAGTAAAATTTAAAGATTCGTGGGAATTACGCCCCATATCTCAGGGCTTACGCCTCGCCTCGTCAGAGATAAAACGCCTCGACTCAAGCCCCCGCCCTTTAAAACATTGCTAAGTACTATGTCAATTGAAACTTTTTAAATGTAAGAGTGCACATAATTAAATGAGGCCATTTAATTATTTCTGTATATCTTTCTTATATGAAAAACTTCATCTTTAAAGTTAAAAGGTGTAATAATCAACGGTTATTTGCTAACAAGTCATACTTGTGGCTAAAAGAACACATACTTAACTAATAATTTGGCCTTGGTAATCGAAATTAAACGATTTTCTATTTCTAATTTTCACTCAGAAAACTTCAACTTTTTTTTCCAATTAAAATTCATGTCCAAATTAAACAAAATTGACACACTTCAACTTCAAATATTTTTCTTTTTATAATTTCAACTCAATCTAAGTCCAAAAATTCTACAAGGATAATTATTCGATATAAAACGAGTAATCATTGTTAGCCTAGTAACAAACCCTTTTCGCTAGTGTTCTATTGTTTTTTTTTTCCTTGTTATTTCTCCAACTTGCTTATATATTTATTTATTTATTTATTATTATAGGAGTATGTGACGCCACATTTGGATAGAGGTTCTTATTAATGACTAGTCAAAAACATAACTTAAAATACACTAATATATGTAATAATATATTTTTATAAAGAGCAGTCTGGTGCACAAAGCATCTCAGACAGGATTCGAGGAATGGTCTAATTCTTAGGAGTATGATGTAGACAGCCTACACTAATGCAAGCATTAGTGGCTGCTAATACGACTCGAACATGTGACCTATAAATCAGACAGCGACAATTTTACCGATGCTCCAAAGCTCCCCTTCTAATAATGTATTTTTATACGAAAAAATTAAATAGAGGCCGAAAGTTTGATATAGTCATCGCAGTGTAACAGATGGTACAGCTTACCTACTTCCATTCTAAAGATGCATATGGCAGATTAAATTTTGTGGAGATTTAGTCATTAGGCATACATATGTGTGCTTCGTTAACTTTATTAACTTGCATATCTCGTTGACAAAGCTTAAAGACGTTAACTACGAAGTTCATCACTTTATACCCATCCATGATTTTCTTGAATGATACATCATTATCAACCCAAAAAACACAAAATAAGACTTGTGGTTAAGTAATCAGAGTAGTCGATAACAACAACAAACCCAGTAGTTTCTCACAAGTGGGGTCTGGGGAGGGTAAGATGTACGCAGCCTTACCACTACCCCTGAAAGGACAGAGTAGTCAAGGTGCTAAAAAAAGCAAGAAGCGATTTAGTTCGATCGACATAATCATACCATCAAGAATATGCATCCATTGTCTTGTATTGATAATTTCTTTGATCAGCTTCAAGGTGCTAAAACATTCTCCAAGATTGATTTTGGATCGAGTTATCACCAATTGAAGACTCAAGCTTTAGACATTCCTAAGATAGCGTTCAAGACTCGTTCTGTTCACTATGAGTTCTTGATAGATGTCTTTTGGATTGACTAATGTTCCAACGGCATTCATCAACGACTTGATTAACCGCGTGTCTAACCACACAGTAAAATAAATACAAGCTACTATATTTAGATAAGCCATCAACTATTTTTTCTCCAAGACTTTCCTATTTTCTTTTTCTTTCGTTTTCCAGCTCAGTAAAGAGTAACTAGTCCATGTTAAATATAACAAAATCCTAAAATTTGTATAGATGCATCCTAACGAGGTGCCAGAAATGATGGAAGCAAATGTAAGTAAAACAAACACTTGCGCGAAAGCACGAGGCATCAGTAATATTTCATTCTCAAAAAAATATATAGTATCAAGTTTCAAGGTAATAGAAAGCCAGTACACCTTGAAGAACCTTATGCAACAATGCTCCTGTAACGTATTCTTTCAAATTTATCATCATTATATGAATCTGACAAAAATGGGTTTGATTTCCCAGTGTCCTCTGGAATGATGTGAGGAAGATGTAACGGCCACACTTTAGGCCTTCGAAAGAATTTGAACAACGTCAAGCTACCAAGTAAAAATTGGTTGAATTAGAAATAGCACCTTTTTATGGCTTCAAAGCAAGGGCAAGACCCAACTTAGGTACTGGATTCTTTGCCTTTGTGTCATACTCCGCTGAGAAAGTAATAAGTGACTTGGGCCTCCATTCCCGCTGGTAAAGCATTGCAACCTTCCCATTGTCAGAAAACCTAGTCTTCACAGATGTTAATGGATCGACTTTGTGAGCACTCCCAATGCTGAAGCTGTTCTCATAGGTAGATAATCTGTGAATCATCTCTGCAGCAACTTCAGTTCCACTTGCTGGATCGACAGAGTGTACATATGATGCCTTCACAGCTTGTCCCTTGTCAGTTCTACAAGGATAGCAACAACATTGCAGATTAGACACTCAGAAATATCAAAGAAATGTTGTACATATTGCACAAGCACAAGTTAAAATCTCTAGTTTATTGAACGACTAAAGCTGATGATGAGTGCATTTAAATGCAACAACTGAGGGATTGAAAGGGGGGTAAAAAAACAAAAGACTAAAGCTTGCTACATTAATATGGTAGTTGAAGCCTTGACAATGCATGCAACTTCAGCCACATCAGAGCAATGTGCAGAAACCCACACGCATTATAAAAGGCACACACTTACTAAAGAAAGGACTGGGTAACCCAGCAGCATAGGAACATGGTTCCCCCTACTAGTGAAGGGAAAACGGGAGTTCTGTGCCACTTTATGAGCTCAAGAAACAAATGAAAATTGAAATGCCAAATACAACCCCTCATTTCCAAAGCCACCATATAGACTATAATCTCAGATATGGCAGATTTTATTAATCCAATATAATATCCCAAGTGATGTAAATGCTTCAACAAAAATGTGCAATTCAGGAAATTTGGATAACAATTTTTTTTTATATGTTCAACAGGAAAAACACACTTCAGCAAATTAATTCACGCCACAGTTGCACATTTCTTTTTAATACTACAACTAAATAAGAATCTTGAAATAGAAAAACTGTCATTAATGCTTGGAGAGCAGAGATGTGTAGCAAATTTCATAGATAACATCTGTATTCCCTAATCTGATACTGTACTTTCCTTTGAATCTCCAGGTTTTGCTTCATTACCTTTCTATCCATATAAAATTAGATATTGCTTTAGACAATCAATGTATATTTCAATTTAACCAGCTCTCTACCTAATCCCAACAAAGGACAATAACATACATACAGCTTGCACATAAAACAGAAAGAGATCTTCTTTGCTAGCACGATCTATTGAGCATTTCATATACTCCTTCTAACCTGATTTAGATTCTAAGCAACATGGCCAATGTAATGAAATTGATTGGCTAGACAATATTGACACACTTTGGAGGCCTAAAGAAGAAGCAACGGGACAGACAACAAATACAAAGCCATTTTATGTTTCAGTTCTAATGATTAGGAAACTTACAATCCAGATTCACCTTGATTTTATTCAGTAATGGGTGTTCAATATACTTCATTTTTGCTTCTTAAATTCCTCGTTAATTAATATGAAACCTAATCAGTCGGCCTTTCTTTAAATTTGAGTGTTACTATTTGCAATTTTATTTCTGGACTGATGTTTTTTGGAAGCAAAAAGTAGTTTCCACATCGGATTATTGTTCCTAAAAAGTCTAAAGATTAGTTTCTCTAGTCTTAGGATTGTTCTCTAATTTTCCAGTGCATAGCTATTTGTAGACCCTATTTAGACAAAGTTGGTGTGTTGATGACTACTAGTTACATCTTCAAGTCTAACGTTCTCTCCGAAGAAGGTTATATTCAAGCTTGGCAGAGAAAATATTTGGTGAATGATGTTAGAATCCCATATCGCCAATATATGTGGGACATAGTCTTCTTGTATTGTCTCAGCGAATCCTAACCACTTAAGCTAACTTTTGGATTGAGTTAGGCCGGAGGTCTATATTATACACATAGTTGGTATTATAGCCGGATTTCGATTAAGAAAATGAATGTCGAGCCTAACTAAGACCTCAGAAGCTAGCTCAAATGGTGAAGATGTCTGAGGCTAAATGACGATACTACAGCTCATACACTTAGCATCGGGTATTATAACACTACCTCTCCTCTTGCACGCTCAAAGCTGGACATCTCGAGCGTGGAGTAACATTACACAAGTGCCCAACATTTTTAGCCCAACATCATGATGTCTGGCTATGACACCATTACACCAAGTTGGGAAAATGTATCTTGACCCGACCTCAACCCCAAAAATTAGCTCAAGTGATGAGAACTGGAAAAGACCTTAAGGAAGACTATAGTCCATGCACTTAAGCGGATATGGGATTCCAACAAATGTCTTTGCTTTGGGCATAAACTGCAGAACAGAAGGGGATCATTGGAGTGTTCCCTCTTATTAACATAGAGAAGCACAGCTTTAGCATACGTTGATCTCAACAGTGATGAGGGAGATCATTATACGACAGGAAGAAACAAAAAGCAAATGAAACAAGGGATGTAGAAAAGCCATATAATTGCATGTCCCGCAGTTGGATTGCATCCTACTTTCACATAACTGGCAGGAACACATTTGGAGAACTCAGAACATCAAATGCATATCAAGCAAAGAACAAAATTCAAGTACTTACAACATAAGTGCAGCAGAAAAATCCGGTTTGTTAAAACTAATCCCTGCG